CTGAGTGTATAATGGGTAATTCTACCGTTGATATTGTACAATGCTTTTAAGTTTCTGCTCATTAAAATACTCATTTGATTATGGAATTTTTTCCTCTCATTTGATTATGGAATGACTGAAATTGTAGCGAATTTTAGATAAAATGTGACCGAAATTTATTTTGTATATTGAATCCATTCATAAAATTACAATGTAAGAGATTCATAACATATGGTAAATAAATACAAAAGTGGTTCTAGTAAAAATCCTTGTGGTACATTCGTGTTTATAAGAAATACAGTGCTTGTCATGTTATTAATTCGCACATTGTGCATTCTATTCGATAAATAAATAAAGCAACCTTGTACTCGACTTCACATTTCTTACTCCTAAATTTCTATCATAGAAAATTTATTTTTCCATCTGCTTTGAAAATAAATTGAATTTTAAGCTACATATTTATGTAAGAATATATTATTTTGTGAGCACAAAATAATTATTATTGAATATTGTTATATTGATTGTCTTCCAGGATTTTCTCATAATACTCTATTCAATTAGTTTCCATACTTATGAAAGTATATAATTTATTTGATTTATCTGAAATAAGAAAATTATTATATTATGCAATTTCCTTAATATTCAAGCAACCAAGTCAGAATTTACCATTTGCTATGTAAAAAAAGTGTAGATTTTGAAATTTAATAGAAAATTACAAATTCTCTTACAATATTTTATTTCACCTTCTCTGAAATATTGTGATAAAATAAATATAAATTATTAAACTATACAAAGCATTAAAATTACACCCACAATCGTTGTATGTTTTCTATTAAGCAAAAATCATTATTTTTTGAAAGTAGTATCCTTGCTGTATTATTAAAAATACATTTAATTTTAATCGAGTTATTCGGAGATTTATGCGAAGCGGGTATACCAGTTTTAAAAATTTATAAGGTATTTGATAGATAGTTCTTCCCAAAACGTATACTTTGACTTAATATGGAACATGAACTTTTGAAGATAAGGCAATTAAAAATAATCTGTTTTACCGCTGATTTTTCAACAAAAGCTAGTTGGGACAATTTTAATAATCATATAAATCACATAAATCAAAGATACTTTAATAATCAATTGTATATGAAACTAGTGCCATTTCCTTTTTTAATTTTCATTCTACCGTGAATTTTCGTACAACTTTAAAAATAATTGAGCCACGTATTGGAAAATATAAATGTTAAAAATTTTTAACTTTTTGATAAAAAGTTTTGCTTACAGCTTGAAGTTTCATAAGTTTTAATCACACTTTAAAAATTTTAAAGACTAAAATAAGTTTAATAATAAGGCTATGATTCTACAAAAGTAAATAGAAACTATAGAAAAAATTCGAATGGGTATGACAGAGTAGGCGCACAGTCATTTCTATTTTATCTTGTTTTTTATTTTAAAAATATTAAATATCTTAAAATAAAAAAATAAATAATGAGGTTCACTTTAAGGGAATATAAAAAAAAACTCGTTTGCTAAAAATATTATTTTACATAGTTCAATTATAAAAAAATAACATTCCCACAATAAAAACAAAAAAAAATCAAAAGAAACTCAATTAAGAGACATTTTGTAATTCATGAAAGGATCAAAGGGAAAATAATAAATTGTTTTTAAGAATACAGAAACAAGGTTGTGTTACAATTAAGTAACACAACCCAACTGCCTATACTCAATTAAAATATTGAATATTTAATATGAAAGTGAAGGTTAAATTGAAATTCTTTGGATTTCTTTCATCCTTTATTTGATTTCATTAAAATTCTCATTAAAAATTTGAAAAACAATTTCATTTTATTAGAATTTTATTTATTTCATTAATGAATGATCGAGGAGCAATTGAGGATTTTTATTAATGGTAAAATTATATTAATTTAGATTTTAATTTATTTGTTAAATTAAACTAAAAATTTTTAATTTTTCAAAGGCATATCAGGCGTGAGTTTATGCAATCTTATTTTAATAATAATTCGCCAATATTAATTTTATGTCATATAAAATACCTCATCCATGATACTGTTATATGTTAATTCCGTTATGTTCAAGTTTATCTGATAATTGTTTATCTGATTATAGTCCAAATTCATATCGTAATTTGTTACTCTATAATATGGAATAAAAACTAATTAAATAGTTAAAAATGTTGATAACTTTCGACACTATTTATCTTGCTTACTCAATTATTGACCCGTAGATATAATTATATTTTAGATCAGATTATATTCCACAAAATTTTAATTAAAGTTTTCACATCGTCTTCAAATTATAAAACTGTATTAAAGTTTATCCATAAAAATTAATGATATTTTGGGTTTGTTTTAAAAAAAAAAAAAAATTAAATTTTAAAAAAAATATTTTCTTAATGGAAAAAATCAAAATTACCAATGATCGTTTGTATAAATTAAAACTTTTCATTTCAATGTTATAACTATTATGTAATCATAGTTCAATCCTACTCTCCCAAAAAAAAAAAAAATTCAACAATTTTTAAATTTCTATCGTGTTCTTCTCTTTGCAAATTCCTATTATACACTAAACATATTGTGTTTGTATGTATATGTTTGCATATACACATACACATTTAATAGAATGTTAAATTCTTTAGCAATGAAAATTAATTATTAAATAGAATGAGATTTTCAGAACAAAATTCTTATTTGATAGTTTCAAATTTTCTTATGGGGAGAAAAGTTCATGGAAAAAAATAAAGTAGAATGAAAAAATTAAGCAAAATATAAGAAAAGTTTTAAGATTTAGGGGGATTAAAAAAAATTATCATATAATTTTTGGAAAATTTTCAGCACTTAAATAGAAGATATTAATGTTTTCCTCGTTAAATTTTATGTTTTCTTATATATAGATATAGAAAATTATAAAATGAAAACGAAAATGAACTAAAATAATAATTACTTTAAATTGTGATTTCCATTTAATTGAAAATAATTTAAAAATTTTCTTTAACTCTATATAATTTTGAAAAGGAAATGATTTTCAATGAAGACAATTTGTAAAATTTTCATAATATTGTTACCATAATTTAATCTTCATTTAAATTTAAATGATAATTAAAATGAAAGCAAACATTTCAATTTTGGGTGTTTATTTTATGGTAAACGTAGTCGAAAGTATAATGATGAAATTTTTATTGTGTTTTGTCAATTAAAAATTTAGTTATGAGGATAAAATATGTCTTGAGAGAGTTTAAATTTCTATGTTGTCATTAGTAAGCTATTATTTATGTAAATCTACTTCTGATGTGTAGGAAAATCAATATTAAATATGAAATTTCTCATACAATTAGGGCTTCCGTACAATTAGTTTGTAACAGTTAATATATTTATGCAATGTTACAATGCTTTTTTTATATAATTGATTACAAAATTTAACAAAAGAAGTGTTCATTATAAAAGAGAAATTTCATTTTACCCACCTTTAAAAAAATACGTACCACGACATAAAATAGGTGGTCAGTACACGTTGCCAAATCTTGAATAAGCTGTTCACCAAAAGCACGTAATTTACATTTTTTATATTAAAATATCTAACTGATTTTTAGAAAAAAAAAATCTAACTGATCAACATGAGTTCATTTGACATTGAAAATTGTAATTGTAAGCAATCACGCATTATGTGTGATTGCTTACAATTACACAGATAAATTCAGGAATAACAAAATGGGAAAAAAATCACTCTATGTATAAACTGACCTTTATAAATTCTTAGCGAAGATATTATTTGTTTTGCCAGTAAATGTGCTTATTCCGAAACATTTTAAATTTAAAAAGTTTTTTGTTTCAATATTATTTAGTAAACAATTTAAGACGAACGTCCCCAACTGGATAATCATTATTTAAGAAAGGGTGAACAATATGTATAAAACTATATACATATTTATCATTAATAATTTATTTACACTCATACTTTTCCTTATAACAGAATTATGTGTAATTCCTTATAACAGTTATTATTATACATATAAACTTCTATTTTTTGAAAATAAGAATTTCGTCCTTCAGAAGGAATGCTAAACTTTAACGAGGTTAATTTTAAGTGTGACGATTTTTAAATTATTAAAGGATATTCAACTTTGTAATTGTACATTTTACGTTATATACAATTTGTTGTCATACATACTTTATTTTTAAGGTCATCTATTTATTTTACTTAATTAAAGCCTCATCCAATTAACATGCCAAGAATTTTTTTAATTTTTGTTTTTAATATTAAGGACAAAACTTTTACTTTCCAAGATCACAGATAGAGGGTTATGTTTTTCAAATATTGCAAAAACTTATTCAGACGTTTGCCAGCTATATTTATATGATTATATAATCATGAAGATTTAGCTGTATTTGTATATGATTTTTCAATTCAGCATCTAGTAATTCAAGAACGCATTGAATTAGATCCATGTTAATATTAACAAGTGAGTTTAGATATTTTAAATAAATATCGCCCAAATATAATTAAATTTGGACGCAACTGAACAAGAAATTGGAATGGCTGCAATAAAACTTTAAAAATAATTTAATCATATTTAGGAATCTATTAAAACTACGAAAATTTTAATGTCATTATTCTAGCCAGATTAGTTTAAAATTTTTATGTTTTTAGTTAAGTATTTGTACATTAAATCTTATTGTTCAAATATTTTCCATAATCACAAATAAAAATTGTCACCTTTCTTATTAAAATTGCAAAAAACTTAATTTATTTAAATTTCAATATTAGTACACCTTTGCATTTTCGATTAATTTTAAATTTGTCACAGTTTGTAATTAATTCTGCTACCACAATCTGTTTCATTATTCAAAGAATTTTTACACTCAACTTTAGTTGCAGATCAAAAAAGTTATAAAATTATTTTAATGTTAATTAACATTACGCACACATACATTGTATTTAACTTTTAACTATATTTTGTTGTTTAATAAAATTATTTAAAATTTTTTCTTATTCTTATTTTTTTGTAGATGCATGTCATCCTTATGAACCATTTAAATGTCCTGGCGATGGTAATTGCATATCAATACAATATCTCTGTGATGGTGCGCCAGATTGTTCTGATGGTTATGATGAAGATATGAGACTTTGTACTGCAGGTAATGTACACAATAAGATAAGTTTAAGTAATTTATAATTAGTTGATTCTGACATTTTATAAAATTTAAATTACAATTAAAAAAAATAAAATTTTAAATAATTACATTTTAAATAATAAGTAGATTTTGAACAAAAGCGATGAAAAATATTTATATGTATATATGTTAATAGAACGAAAAGTCATATATTCTGAACCAAAATTTTGAACGAATGAAAAATTATTATAAAATTATTTATAATAATTACTCTATTATAAAATTAATTTTAATAGTTCTTACAACGTGTTTACCGGATTTTCAACAATGACATAATTAAATTACTATATACTTATATAGTTAACCCTTTTTAACGAAATTTGTTATAAAAGTTACTAGGGCACGTAAGGGAATGAAAAGAAATTTAATTTAAAAAATCCAAAATTTATTACAGATTAAGACTAAACCAATTCCAAGAGAAAAGGGTCAACAAAAATAAATGAATATTTTATACTAAATCATTGTGTTAATTCAGAAACTATTGTACAACAAAATGCCAACTTATTTAAATTAGTTCAACCAATTCTTTTAATAAAAAATCTAGTAAAAAATACCATTCATTTCACAGTAATCAGTATGACAACGACATTCATACAGAAAAAATTTATAATTTTTATAATAAACATTGGTAATTTTTATAATAAACATTGTAACATTTAAAGTTACAAGAACGAAAAATATTTCCATCACAAAAATAGAAAACGAATTGAAATTTTCGATTTTTTCATCGGAAAAACACAAAACTTAATAATTTTTCTATAAAACTTAAAATTTTTTACTTTCTACCTTTGCACTTTTTAAATTTAAGAAAAAAATTTTTTTTTCATATAACTTATTATTCAATTTACACAATTTTCACAAAATATAAAAATTTGCTATAAAACGTTTTATTCTTCCATAAAAAAAAAAAATAATTCTATATTGTCCTTGCTGAGCAACTATTGTTAAATAAAAAAAAACTGAACACCAACAAACACAGCAATATTTATATATTATATACTAGCTATATACATGTTTGAGGGTTTGAACTATACATACATACATATTTACATTTATAAAACAATATTCAATAAAGTAAAACTTTTTCTTCAATGAAGCATTGTGTACATGCAAAATCATACGGTATGTGTTCTTAAATGCGTTGTTTTTCATATAAATTTTATAAAAAATTTCAAAATGAAAATAAAAAATTGTTATCAAAAAAGTTTTTATAAAAAAAAAAAAAAAAAAAACTAATTTAAAAAGTTTTTTGTTTTTATACAGCAAAATGCATATATGCAAATTTAAATGTAATAACCTTTAGATTGCCATTTAAAACTTTGTTTTAGTCACTTAATATTTATGCTTAAAAATTTAATAAAAAAAATTTTTTGTTAAAAATTCAATATTGTGAATTTTCTTGAAATTAAAATTTTTAAAAATAAATATTTAAATTTTAGAAGCACATGCTTACTATTTTGAAGTAAATATAAAAAAAAGGCACAGTTAGTTTGCACAATTGTATTGTAACTGTGAATAATGTTTAATTTCGAAAATAATTCGTCTTTACCTTATTAAACTGAGAATTTTACGATTAATTGCAAAAAAAAAGTACAAAAACCAAGTGAAACTAAAACTTCAGCGGAAAAATTAAAATATTATAAATTTGACCTCAAACTTTAGCATCTTTTCAGAATTGCTTCTGAATTTGCTAATATCACCAATTTTATTACTAGTAGATATCCATGTAGAGCATATTCCAAAGGCAGAATCTTTAATTAAAAAAAAAAAATCATGCATTTTTAGCTCTTTAAACAAAATTTTAAAATACTAGAAAAAATTTTGCAAAAAAAAAAATTTTTGAATACAATCAAAAAAAATCCTAAAAACTTTCAAAAATTGTTAAACTGGAAAACACTTAATACACTCCGTTGATTTGTAAAATTGTGAATAAATATTTACGTAGGTAAAATAATTCGTTTTTTTTTCATCCTTTTCATTTAAATGAGAAATTTATGGAAAACTATATGAAAAACTGAGTAACTCGTATAACAATATTTGCTCAGTGCAATTGATTGCATATTGCTATTTCAATATTTGGAATTGATTTTATATTGATAATTGAGTTATTGACGTAAGTAATAATCAAAAATTGAATGAATCGATGTGAGTCTTTCTAACAAAATCCTATAACAAGTGGTTTTAATTCTATATATATAACAGAATTTTGCGTTATTGAAATAATATTTTTTGTATATTTAAAATTGTATTTACAAACTTATATTATTTACTTAGTTTATAGAAAACATATATTTGCGCATCAGAAAGATTGTTATATTTATGTACAATAAATTTAAAAAACTCTTCGTACAATTGACTATCAGCAAAAATTGTTTAGTTGGAATGAAATGGTACAATTAATACTAATACTAAACCGTCTCGCAAAAACTAGATCCTCATTATAAGTTGGGTTATAAGTTGCCTATATAGACAACAAATTTAGTTGGAACTATTAATTGAAAATTTTTTGAATTAGAGATTTAGAATGGAATTTTGAAAGGATATGGTGTGTTATAAGTTCTCATTTAAAAACAGTTATTGTGTTGGAAGAGTATCGTCTTATGAGTTTTTAATTTTAATTATTATAAAATGTTATACATTTTAAATTAAATTCGTAATAAAATTTCACATAAAAAATTTGATATTTGAATTCCTGAGAGCTTCTTAAGAACTTTGAAATTAAGAACAACTGACTTTTTTAAAATTAATTATAATAAATATTTTATACTGTTCTTTTTTAAAGAGAATTGTTAGAAAAATAATACTTTTAAATTAGCTAACAATTTTGTCATTGAGTTATATTGAGTTACATTGTAATTTTCATTAACTTTATAATATGAAACTTTTTTTTTTAATATATTTTTAATGAATTATTGTTTTGTACATATGTACTTCAAGGATAAAAATTTATATTCAAATAAAGAGAAAAATAATCATTAATAATACTCGTAATTAGTTTTTTTCTCATAATCATTATTTTTCCAGCAAAACGACCACCTGTTGAAGAAACAGCTTCATTTTTACAAAGTTTAATCGCATCCCATGGACCCAATTATCTGGAAAAATTATTTGGTGCAAAAGCTCGTGATGCTTTAGCTCCATTAGGTGGTGTTGAAAAAGTTGCTATTGCTCTAAGTGAATCACAAACAATTGAAGATTTTGGTGCAGCACTACATCTGATGCGGTAAGAATTTTTTTCTTCTATAATTTATTCTTTTTACATCAATAATTTTATATTTTTATTTTGTACACAACCATATCCATATGAAATGCTGTGGTCTGATAAAGAAAATTTAAAAAGTTTTTTTTTTTTTCACTTTTAACCTTAAAAAAGTAAAATTATTCTTGTTAGTTAGAAAAACCAAATTCCCTACGCTTTTCTTAGAGCACGTAGAAGTATAATTTTATAATATAAACATACTTATATTAATATTTTGATTCATTTGAACTACGAGATTCTCAAGTGATATTTTCCCGCTACAAATTGCACAACAGTGAATAAAAAATCAATATAACCTAAACACAACAAAAAAAAACCACTGCCTTGCTTTTTAAAAATATGAAATAAATATGTTTTCAGTAGTTGTTTCTTTTTTTCCGAGTTCATACATGCATATGTGTGCATAATCCTTGATATCCTTTTCATTTAATGAAAAGCAAAAACAAAATCTCTTAGTTTTTATCACTATCTTTTTCACATTCTTCCATATTTTTTCCATTCTTCACATTGTAAATTTTTTCTTTTAATCATATAAAGTACGAGGAAGCATAATGAAGCAAACAAATCCGAAGGATTTACACCTACATGTAAATGCTAAAAATATGTCTTGCATGTAAATGCCTTTTAGAATGAACAAAAATATTATTTCGCTTTAATACTTCACATTGTTTACATTTAATATACTGGCTAAGTCTTGACTCCAAACTTAAATTGACAAAATAATTGTGTGTTCAAGAAATAAATCAACGTGTTACTATAACATTTGAAACATAATTTAAATAAAATTTCGTAATTAATAATTTAATATGGCCACGTAAAGGTCATGCCAAGGCTGTAGCCAAAAGAAAAGTCAGTACAAAATTAACTATAAAGTTAGGTTTTGGGAGAAACATTGTGAAATTTTCTAGTTACATATTTTAGTCAAATACATCACTCAATGCATAAAGTATTTCAATAAAAAAAACCGATATTTAAGCATTAAGCCCTCCATAAAATCTTTTGTTTACACTATTTAAGGAAATTCGAATGCTGAAAGCTCAAAACAATTTTAGTAAGGATTTACCAACAAGAATAACTACACTTTAAATTTATTATTAAATTATTTTATTTTAATCAGCGAAGAAATCATATTCTTAAAGTAAAAAAATCTGATAAGACCATAAAATATGGAAGATACTATAGCCTTCAGCAATATAAGATATAACTTTTACTAAAACCTTAGGGTTTATCAGCATAATTTTCCTGAAAACTTAAGAAACACTTGTACGCCTAAGACATATGTGTTTTTTTTTTTTGTGTTTTAATAAAACAAATTGCTTTTCTTCATTTTCATAACTTTTAGTTTGTTATTAACACCGAATATTAAGAAACAGGTTTATATTTTATAAACGAAAACAAAAAAAATCTGAACACATAAGTATACACATATTCACAAAACAAAAATAAGAAATCTGATGCGAACAGCCAATAACCGATCTAAAAGCATATTTTCTAGTTTGACGATAGTGTTTCAGAAGATTATGTAAATGTTATTTACACATTTAATTCAAACTCTAAGAAAATTAGATACGTTCTAGCTATTGTATTTAGAAAAATGTTTATTTGATTGTTGGTAGCGGTTGACTTTTTTGTTCCCATTTCCTTGAAAATTTCGTTAATATGTTCCTTAGATACTGTCAAACATGTAAAACAGGCCCCAAATGATATTTAGAATTTTGAGACGTCATATTCCTGAAAAATTAGTTAGTTGTTGGCACCTAACTTCCTCAAAAAGCAAAGTAGTTTCTCAAATGGAGCTTATTCATAAAATTCCAAAAAAATTTGCTTAATATTTTTTAAAAATTATTAAAAATGTAAAATTTCTCTGTAAATAGAAAGAAAAAAATTCTTGGACTGTATCTAAGCGAAAAAATTGGGAAAAATTTTATTTTTCGAAATTTAGTTATTTTTCTAACTGTTTCATGTTGCCCTTGTTTTCCGGTGCCCATTGCAAATGTTTACTTTGCATATATGGCAGATCCGGCCCTGTATCTGAAATACCCAAAAATTTGATTAATGTACATGACTAATGTAAAAACCAGCATAAATTACCATTAAAATCATTTTAGTTGGAACTGAGATACATGAGTACACAGGCAAACCGACCAACCGGCACACTTCCATCTCTCCAAAAGGAGTGTAACGATTTCCAATAGGAGTATATTTCTCTATCACGGAGAAATTCTTTTTTCTTGGAAATTCGACAGGCTAAATTTGATACAATCACAATACCTCCCTTATTTTATGCAACGCCGTTGAAAATGAGAAGAAAAAACTACAAAATTTTTAAATTATAAAAAAGTTCTTTAAAAAATAAGGACAAACTGTAAAGTTTTATATACTATGTAGTGTTTTATATACATACATATTTATTTCAATTTTTTTATATTTGCTATTATTAATATTTACAGATCCGATTTGGAACATCTACGTTCAGTATTTATGGCAGTTGAAAACGGTGATTTAGGAATGCTAAAATCACTTGGTATCAAAGATTCTGAATTGGGTGATGTTAAATTCTTTTTGGAAAAATTAGTTAATACTGGTTTCTTAGACTGAGTAGCGCCAGATCCGGCTTCCAATTTTTATTATTCAGTTGTACCAATAAATCCAAGTTTTTACTCTTATTTTAGTTCATCAGATTCAGGTTATTTTTAAATTAATTTCAATTCAAAACTAAAAATAAATATAAAATAACCATGAAAAATCCTTAATTATGTTAATCAGTTAAACAAAATTATTTTTTTTTTATAATTTTGTTTTGTTATAATTTAAGACAGTTTGGTCACTTCTATTCAATTCTATACTACTTTATATTATTCTTCTATTTTTCTTTTATTTTCATATAAAAATTAACTTTTTTCACGGTTTCACAAAATTCTATACAAAAAATAATAACAAAATTTAAATAAATTTTCATTTGATTATTAAATAAAAAAAAATTATATGAAATTAAAAAAAATATAAAAAAAAATATTAAAAATAAAAAAAAAACTATTAAAAAAAATCATAAAAATTAATTTGGAAATTCAAAAACTAATAGTCATAATCTTTATCCCCACAAATAAATTGCAATATCTAAGGAGTAGGCGAAATATTTTAATTCTCTATTTAACCACCATTGTGAGAAATTTTTTTCAATATTCTGTTCTTTCGTTCATACAAATTTTCTTCATTTCTTGAAATTCGTTCAATTTAAAACTGTTTAAAATTGTACACAAAATTAAAACCAAAGAATTTAAAAATGCTTTAAATTAAAACTTAAAAATACTATGAGTGAATGTTATATTGATTCTTATATTATTTCTGAATACTAAGTATTTAGTAGCGTTTCTGCTTAGTAATCAGATTATATAAGAATAAGAAAAAATCCTACAATTCGGAAAAGACATCATATTGTATATAGTTTTAATTTTTACCATTTTAACTAACTCAAATTATTTTTAAAAAAAATTATTAAATTTTCTGAAAATCAAGTATTTATAAATAATACCTATAGCGTTTCTACTTTTTAATCAGAAAATTTATATTTAGTAAAAAAATTAAATTTGTAATTTGGACTTTATTTACAATTTTAATATGATTTAAGAGTACATGCAACTATACACGCTAAAAGCTGTTCAGCATTCAAAATGTGAAAATATAATGGTACCCACTTGCAATGCAGTCTTATTTAGTTTATTCTTAATCATACTCGTAAATTTCGAAATTTTGAATATTTTCTATTTACATTATCTTATGTCATGTCTGATATTGCAAATTATTATTAATTATTTATTTAAACAAAAAATTAACACTCATTATCAATTTAAAATTGGAATTAATAATTAAATTCATATAAATATCATAAATCTATCATGTTGAAAAGGAAAATAATCATACACATAGTATAGATTCATTACATTTTGAAAACAAAATCAGAAATTGGATATTTCAAAAATAAAAATTTCAGAAGGAAATTAAGAATTTTTTAATAATGTATAAATATATACATAAAATTTCCTCTTATATTAATATAGGTATACAATATTATAATAATCAACATTGAAATTATTAAAAAAGAAAAACTATTTTCCAAAATTTCTAATTGAATTTCCTCTCATTTAATATTGAATTATGAAAAAAAAATTATTATGAAAAATTTTACTAAATCTTATAATCATAACATAAAAATTATATTTAATATATTACATATACTTTTCTAATTATATACCCATATATTACCAATTTTTCTAAAAGTAATTTACTTTAAAAATTTAATTGAATATAAATTATAAAATTTATAAATATTATATAAAATACTTTCAAAAAAGAAAAAATATTAAAATTTTTAAGTTTTCATATTTTCTCTAATAAAATATTCTTGCTTCTATTAAAAAACTTATGTAAAAGAACGTATAGCAAAATGAAATTTGTTATTTAACTTCAAATTTCTTTTGAAATCAATATCTTCCACTTATGTGTATAATACTTACTTTATTTTAAAATTTTCCTATTATTAATTTTTTAAACATTATTAATAATTAAAAATTTAAAATAAAATTTCAGCTTATTAATCTAATCCTTTTCTTTTTGTTTTGTGAAATAAATTTTAATTTTTATTAATTTCTAAAAAAAATATATTTTTTTTTCAACCAAAAGTTCCATAAATAAAACAATATTATAAAAATCTTAACGTATTTCTGCAGAAAAGAAAAATTTTTTTAACAAAAAAAAATTTTTTTTTTTGCAACAAAATGGCTGGAATTTAAATACATTTTCTCGAAATAAAAAATTTTTTTATTTATAATCCATATATATATACTTAAATTGATTGATAATAATTTTTTTTCTCGAAAAAATGTATTTTCTAATAAAATATTTGAAATTCGTTAAGAAATTTTATTTATTTATTTATCGAAATTTAATTAATTATATATCAAATATGAAAAAAAAAACATTTAAATATCTCATCAAAAAATTAAAAGAGAAAATTGATACAAATTTCAATAGGAAACACCTAACAAGAAATTATCCTTGCACCCAATATCAAACAAACAAACAACAAAAAATACAAACAAATATTATAAAATAATAATGCTAAAAACACATACCATAAATATATATATACATTATACAATAATAAAAATTGGAAGTAAATATATATAGTTATATATATATATATATATTTACATATTATATTAAAGAACAAAAAGAAAAAATTAAATAAAAATTAATAAATTAAATAAAATTCGTACAATTTTTCTCTCTCTTAAATAACTTTCTCAAAAAAAAAAAACAACTCTTTAAAAATATTTTGATTTTCAAAATTAAAAAATTTGATTTGCTTATATTAAATTTCATATTATTTCCAAAATATTAAATTTAGTTCATTTTATGCAAATTAAATACGGTGAAATAATCAAAATATAAATTTTGAATATAATAAGTATAATATTTAAAATGCGCTTTTAATAGTATACATAAATGGTTTACAAATTATTCAGCAATATAAGAATTAAATATTGAATTCTTCATCAAATTATGCTACTGAATATAATAAATGAATTAAAAAATCATCATTAAAAATGATAAAAATCATATAAACTGGATCATACAAAACATTCAATGACTAATTTAAAAATTTCCGATAATTTGAACACTTATCCAATTTGATAATAATTTTATCAAATTTAATAATCAATTAAAAATTTACATATGAATTATTATATCAGAATTTAATGACTCTTGTCATTATGCAAATTATATAAAAACTATTTTATATATGCTTGTAATACGTAGTTATCAATATTCTGTGCGAAAATTATTATCGCATATACACTCATGCTTAACTAATTAAAAACTTAATTTTATTTAATAAAGCAGATCAAATTTTTGAAAATCATCTACTAAGCTATAATACATTTCTCTTCCAGCTTTTTTAAAAATAATTTTTTTTTGTAAGAAACCCATTTTTGCAAATTTAATCATAAAATTTTATTTTGTTCCCTTATTACATAAACAAACTTTATTTCAATTATCTTTAATTTATTTAATTTGTTTTTTCTTTTACGTTAATAAATATAAAAATTTTTTATGCCAACAATTATTTTCGTACAATTTATTTTTTTATACCCAAAACAAAAATAAAACATTTATTTTACATAAAAAAAAACAAATTCAACCAAAATGGAAGCAGGATCGGCTTGAGCAATGAACACAAATTTAAAAAAAAAAAACCAAAAACAAAAAAATATTATGAAAAATTAAAAAATATATAAAGAAATTATACAAAAAAAAATTTAAATATGTGTATATATTATAAATTAATTTTGAACAAAAAAAAAAAAAAGAAAAAACAGAAAATATAATTTTCGAAAAAAATATTAAATTATTAAATGTTTAATTTCTTCAGTATTAAAATATTTCGAAAAAAAAAACATATTGAAAAATATTAAAAAAAAAAAAGATGTCAAAAATAAATTAAAAATTTTTAATGTCAATTATAATTTAATTTAAAATATAATAAAATATATAAATTTTAATTATATATAGGTTTGTAGAATTTCAGTTGCAATAACATAACTATTTTCGAAAATTGTTTAAATTTAACATACTTAAAAAATTTGGAAATACATACATATACTTTCATATAAAAAAAAATTAATACTGAAAATATAATATACAAATAGAAAAAAAGAAATGATACAAAAACTTTCTTTATAAATGTAGAAATTAAGCCTAAATTACTACACTTAATTTCCGTTTAATTAATCTTAAAATGTATACTTTGTAAAAATGAAAAACATTTTCATAAAACTCATTAACTACTCGTACCATACATACATTTCCAAAAATTAAATTTTTTTTCAATCTTTTTAAATATAAAAAAAATGAATTTCGAAATTATTTACATATATACTGGAGTGACAGGAAAGAATAATTGCATATATGTATATGTATATATATTACTGCACATACACATTGATATTTTGATTTGAAATGCCAATGCATATTATGTATTACAATTATATATACATACATATATACAATTACTGTTTTGTATAATTTTTTTTTTCTATTTTTATTATGCCTCTATTTATTTATATATACATACATAAAAAATACATTATAAAAAATTAATGTATAAATATTTCTTTTTAAATATTATATTAAATGTTACAAAAAAAAAAACTATAGAAATACAACAACAACACATAAAACAAACATATCATATTATTAAAATAAATCGATATTACCCTTAAAAAAAATTATTATATAAAATTGATTAATTAAATTATATCAGAAATGTTATATAATACATTTTATATATAAAAATCTTAATATACCTAATTTGAATAAAAATTTTCTTTTAAATATTAATGTGATAAATGTTTCCTAACTCTTTACATATCTCTATATACATACATTTAAAAAAATATTGTCATAAAAAAAACAAAAACACAAAACAAAATTTAAATAACAAAAAGTAGTAATTTTTTCAAAAAAATTAAAATTATTTATAGTATATAATAACAGTACAATATTTTAATATATATATATATATATATATATATATACCATAATATGAATATATTATTATAAAATATTCAAAAGTATTTTATTTAAATATTGAAGAAAATCTTAATGAAAATTGTAAATTAAGGCTTTAAACTTTAATTATATATAACTATTATTATTGCATAATTAATAAATTTAAGAGAAAAAAAAAATATATATATATATACATATATATAGTTTTAACACTTATTAATTATTATATTTATATAAATTCTCCATTATGTATTAATTATAGCTATATATATATATATATATTTTTATGATTTACAGAGTTTTATTGAAAAAAAGCAAAAAAAAAATAATTTTATAAATATTAAAAATATATAAAGATATAGTAAATTTAATTAATATAATAGTACATATATAAATGTATAAGAAAATATTTTAGTTGGAAAAGTACACAACAACGTAAAAATTTAATTATCTTCAAAAAACAAAAACAACAACAAAAATATTAAAATTAAAAAAAAAATATATTATTCTGATAATTGAACAAGCTATTATAAAAAAATTAAAAAAAATACAAAAAAAATTTAAAATTAAAAAAAAAAGTTCACAAAAAAAAAAATTACTAATGTTGTAAACAAAATGTAGTAAATTATTAGAAACACTAAAAACAAAAAAATAAAAAAAAAATAAAATTTATTCAAATGCAAGTATTGTAGAAAAACAACTAAAAATAAAATTGATTAAAATATTTACAAAAAAAAATATAAGTACTTAAATTTAAAAATGTTTCATAGAAACAACACAATTATATACATATCAAAATATATATACACATATCAAAATATATATACACATATAAAATCTTATTTAATATTTTAAATTTTCAAAAATTATATTTAATAAGACAAAAATTAGTAAAACGTCATGAATATTATATAACATTATTATTATAATGTATTCTAATAATTATATATATATAATATATATATATATATATATATAAATTTGTTAAAATATAAAACGTACTAACTTAAAAACATTCAATATACATATCAGAAAAAAAACACAAAATGTTATTTAAATATAGAAGAAGAAAAAAGAAATAGCAAACAAAAACTTATATTAAATATTAAATATTTAAAATAAAAATATTAGTGTAGATTCACTTTAAATCAAAGCAAAAAGAAATTTAAAAATTATCGATAAAATTGAGAACTAAATATTTAAAATACAAAAACTAAAAAAACTTAAGCTTAAAAACTAACAAAATAAACTAAAATAAACCTATATAAAACATAAGAAAACCATTAATAATTATATGGAGTTATTGTACCTTACCTTAGAGTATAGCTGAAATTGATATTATATACCTTGACAAAACAAAAAAAAAATCATTGATTTTGAAAAAAAAAAAAATATCGAAACCCTTAAGAAAAAATTAAAACATCCACCATTTTTAGCTCACATTAAAAAAAATATTAAAAATATAAGCGTCTAAAAATTAAATAACAATTTTTCAAATAGA